GAGAGGAGGTCTGGTGAATTCAACAACTCTTTTCTCCTTAGGTGTTTTAAGTAGGTGTTTTTCCTGTCCTCAGAGGCAAGACGACACCCACTCACACCCACACTGTCCATCCCTTCTCGCCCTTCGCGCTCTCAGCTAGTGCAAAGCCGCCTGGCTTCAGATCCTCCGCTGCGACGCTCAGGCAGAGGTCGCCTCTCACTAGCTGTGAAGACCCCGCCGGCTTCACATCCTCCCCCGCCCCAGTCCAGGGTCGGGTGGGAGTGGGTTAAGGCGGGGTGAAGAGGTTGGGACAGGCGAGGGGATTGAAGCATCCTCATTGGCTGGCGGCTGGTGTCGGACCTGAGTCCGGAACCCGCACCCCCATTCACGGGCTTCACCCCCTCATCCCAGTCTTCCCCCCCCCAACCCTTGGCCCTACTTACCTCCCTTCTCCTCGCCTGCCCCCTGTCCTTCCCAGCACCGTGCCCCTCGGGGCTGGCCAGGGCTGCTCTCGTATACGCGACAGAAGCAAAGGAGGCAGGAGAGGGAGGCTGAACTTCACAACTCCGCACTTGGCGATAGTGAGCGAGAGGGAAGCAGAGACTGATAGAGGGAAGGGGCGGAGAAGCGAAGCGTGGACAGGGAAAGAGAAAGAGAGAGAGAGAGACCCCTGCCGATCTTGAGCCAGAGGGCGGGCTGAGGGAGGGGAAGGAGTCGCCGGAGCCGTCCGGGAGCAGCGGCAGCCGCTCAGCCGCGGCGGCAGGAGTAGCCCCGCGGCCACCACGCCGCGCGCCCGGAGCTCGCGGATCCCGGCCGGGCAGCTGCGCTGCGCCCTCGCCGCCGCCGGTGCGGAGCGGAACCAGGGCGCTCGGACGCCGCCTCCCTCGCCTGCTTTCGTAGCCCCGACCTCCTCCTCGAAGATCGGGGCGGCTCCGGAGCTGCGAGACCGGACGGGGCTCGGAGGTCCTGCCTGGCAGCTCCGGAGGAGGCGGAGGCACTCTCCGGCGAGCGAGCGAACGAGCGAGTGGGTGGGTTAGCGGGCACCTGGTCGCCCCTTCCCCTTTTCCGCTGGAGTTGAATCTGTGCTGCCCGTGTCCAGGTGCTGGGCTTCTGGACCGACACCGACCCTCTGTTCCCGCCCGCGGCCGCCTTGTCATGCTGCCCAAAGTGGAGACGGAAGCCCTGGGACTGGTTCGATCGCATGGGGAACAGGGGCAGATGCCGGAAAACATGCAAGGTAAGGAGGCGCCGGGCGGCGCTTGGGTTCCTGTGCTTTCTCCACCCGCGGGCTGCAGCCTCCCGCGCGGCGCGGGCGCCAGAGCAGCTGGGACTGAGGGGCTGCAGAGCGGCGCGCAGGCATCAAGCCTCCGCGTCAGGTGCGGGCATAAAAGTTTATGGCTCTTGAACAACGCAGACAGACCTTTTGCAATCAATGTCTTCTTGGCTGCTTCTGATTGAGAAAAGAAGCTAGCAGCTCTCTGGCAACTCCAGCCGAGGCAGCTTGGGGTAGTTTAATCAGATCTTTTTGGTGACTGGAATGTCTCATTGGGCACGGGAGCACAGGTTCCCAGCCCTTGAAATTGCTTTGCACTTTCATGCTCCGGTGAGGAGAGGGACGACTGACCAGGAAAGTCAAGTGCAGAAAGAGAAGGCGACCGCAGAAAGGTTATGCTGGTGGTGTTAGAATGCTTGTGAGCACCCCAAACTCAGACAGGTCCCGGAGGCAGCTTGGATTTAGATAACTTCAAAACAGCCAACAGAACTTACGGGAACCAAATTTACCCCATCCCCAGTGAGAATGGTGCGAAGGGAGAGGTGTTGGGCTGAGGTTAGTTTATGGCCCCTTCCTCCATCTGAGAGCTGGGAATAAGTTTGCCTGGCTTTTGATTGTTGAAAAAGAAAAAAAATCACACTGGCTGTATTTTTTTTCCACATTCCAAAATAGCAAGTCTAGATCTGGCTTGTATTAAGCCCTTCAGAAGTTGGTCGTGTTTGCTCTGGACCAGGAAGGGAACAATGCTAGGAAAAGTCACCGGTGCTCTTCCATCCTCGCCCCTTCCAGCACGCAGGGTGTGCGGGCCGGGGGCCTGTGATCCCGGCACACTTCATGCCATCCTCTCGCATGAACTTGAAAGGCCCGAGGAGGTGTTGAGAGCAGAGTTCAGGGCTGATGCAGTGCGGGGTAAGGTAGCGCGCGTCCCAGGGCGTCAGGCCGGGAGACTTGGTGTCGCCCCACTGCGGAGGGAGAAAGGGGTGGCAGGCGAGAGGATCTTGCAGGTGGGGTCATTTACCTTCTCGGCTATCCTAGGGTCTCCTCCATTCTTCAGGTAGGGCTTGGAAACCCCCTGGGACGGAAGCTCCCGCGACTAACTTTGTGCATCAGCTGCGGAGGGAACCCGGTTGGTTCAAAGAGGCGTTTATTTCTTCCTGCCCCTGGGGTCGCCAAGCAGTGGGATGTATGGGGAGGCAGTGGGGAAACCGCACTGGGGTGCTTCCATCGCCAGCCCGCGGAGGGTGAGGCCTGCGTCCCTGTGGTTCTTGAATCCAAAAGGAAAGTTGCCGTTTCCCGTGTTTCTGAGGTATTTGGGAAAGCAGTGGAGGAAAGACCTAGAGCCAGGCGTAGGGAGGGGAGAGAAATGCCAGGGTAACATTTTCTTGGTCAAAGACAAAAGCCCTTCTTGCCACTACCGACTTGCCCCCAAAAGAGAAGATTAGCTGGAGCCCAAGCCCCGGCACTCTCAGTCCTGGGTTCGAAAATAGCGTGGGAAACGCCCGGCACAGCTTCCTTTGGGACCTACTGTCTGCTCCTTTGGGTGGCCCACCTCTTGCTTGCTCCATTTCTGCTAGGGTCACAGCAGTACTCCTATGTATGGGGGAGTTTAGAAAGGGGATCCTCTACCACCCGGTAGAGGATCATGCAGCGCGTCCAACTTCGGGAACTTCCCGACCTCGTAGTCTCTCTGACCCCCTAACTTTGCACGACCCCGAGGGTCTCCTCTCATTCCTCCCGACCGAGATTAGAAAGAGCGCTGGGACTTCCTTGCCCCTATGGATTTGGTTCCAGAGCCCCAACTTCGGCGGCACCATCGCACAGGGGAAACCGAAAGATGCCTTGCCCAGCAACGCCTGGCTCCCAGCAACGTCTGGCTCCCCACCCAGCCTTTTTGGATTTTCTAAGAGGATCCCCACCCCAGGCCTCAGGCTTTTCGGCGTTGGAACTCCCGAGATGGGCAGAGTACCCGTCAGCTATGCCCGTTGGGTGTGGAGTTCGAGTTTAATTTGTTGGAAGAAGGGGAGACAGAAAAGAACACACTTGGTAGAGCAGACTTTACTTCCCTTCCCTAAAACATACTTCCAGATAGTAGTCACCAGTTTTCGGAAAGCTGTAAACGAACTTCTCCACCCCTCAGCCTCCTCCAAGCCTCCAGGTCCCCAAATCCCAGCGGGGCGCCCTTAGGGCTGGAAGAGCTGCGCCCAATATCACTGATTCCTAAGCCTTGGAGCCCAGGCTACTGCCTTTGGTGGTGGCTCTTTCTCCCGGATTCTCCCAAACTCTGGCTGACTTAGTCCTGTTTAAGCCCCAGTCCAGGGCTGTGTGTCTTTGGAGGAGACACTTCAGCTCCACAGGTTTGAGCTTGGCCCGCAATCACAAAGGACTACAGTGACCGTCCCCCACTCCCCACCCCAACTGCCCTTTCCCAGGCCTCAGAAGACGCGGGGCGGGGGGAGGGGGGGAAGGGGGAGTTTATTTTAAAATAAGTCATTTGCACGGAGGCCACTACGATGATACAGTGGGCCCAGTACGGTACTTTGGCAGTGGAGTGAGGGCTCTTTCTCTTCTTTTTAGCAAACAAATCAAAGGAAACTGCCTGGCAGTGGGCACCCCCGCCCCGCCCCTGCAATGCCACTTATTAACTTAAAACAAACTCGCCTGGGTGTTTGTGCGCCTGGGTAGCCGGGGGTTGAGCAAGGACGGAGACCCCAGCGCGCCAGGGGTGAGGGAGAGGGTGCCGGGGGAGGGAGCACGGTGGCCGGACTTGCAACCAGATCTCCCCTAGCTCTGGGTGCCCGCCCACCCCCCCACACTTGACCCCAGTGTAGCTGAGTCCTAACAAGCACCCCAGCAGGTATTTCCTGGGGTCCCCTGGCCACCGCCTCCAAGTGCTTAGTTTATCTTTTGGCTGTGATGACGCCTTCTGTGCTTAGTGTCCCCAGGAAAGTGGTTACTGGATCCTCCCGCCGCCCCCCTCCCCCCCACGCAAGTTTCTGTTGAGCAGAGGTGTTTCATAGCTTGTGATGGCTCTTGCGACCTTGTGGAGTTCATCCAGAGCTTCACACTTTGCCACATGATCCTCCAAACACTCGTGTGATCTTTGCCTCTTCTGTTTTTGGCGGGTCCGCATCCTCTTTTCTCTTCCTTTCTTTTTGGTTTTCTCAGGACATTTTCAAACGCGGGGAGATGAAAGTATCCAGAACAGAAGTCCTGAATGGAAACTGTTTCCATTAATCTAACGATTCGAAGTTTAGGCGCGGCAGGCTGTGTGGGTTGTGAAGTGGGGTTGCGCCGGGAAGCAGGCTTCCTGGCCAGGTGTGCTTGCAGCAAAGAGTGGGGAGTGGTGTGTGTTTCTCTCCCTTAAGCAACGATGACATTTGGGGACTTCAGAAATTTAAAAGAAATTCTAGGTTGTTACTTTATGCTCTTCATGCTTCTGTTTTGATCTGTTGCTTTGCAGTTATGAGACCTGTGTCTAAGAGCTTAAAATGTTAGCACAAGAAGTTGAAATTGTGTTTAAATTTAAAATAGAAGGGCAGGTTCACGGATGTGCAAAGGTGTTTTACTTTCGCTGTGTAAAAATAGCTGTCTTCAGCACCACTCGGGTAAAAATGATTTTTATTTTATATTTTACCTGGTGATAATTGCCCACCCATCACCAGAATGGTTTCTTTTTTTTTAATAGCATGATTAAAACCTACCTAGTAAATTAATTGGAGTTCTATATACATTTCTCTTCTTGTTCCAGTGTCTCAATTTAAAATGGTGAATTACTCCTATGATGAAGATCTTGAGGAACTTTGTCCCGTATGTGGCGATAAAGTGTCTGGGTACCACTATGGGCTTCTCACCTGTGAAAGCTGCAAGGTTTGTTCACACATCGCTATGTACAAAATACAATGCTTAAACCGAAAAATAAACCAGGGGTTACTTTTCAAAGCTAAAGTTAGGCTTCTTCTTTTTTTTTTTTTAAGACTCAAAAATGAGAGAGTTAGTGTTAGGGAAATAATCCTTAGAAATGTGTGTCTGATTTAGTTCAAAAGGCAAAGAAATTTATGCTGTTTAGAAAACTTTGCCAGTGTCATGACTTTAAGATATTTTATTATAGTGTAGTGATGTAACTGTAGAAAGGTTTCCATTTCTAACAGTCTCAAATATTGATTTTACTTGACTTATATGTATTTAAAGCGCTGTGGTTCTTGAGAGGCAACGTGTCAGATACATCCCAAATACATTTTAACTTCAGAGGATTCTGTGATACAAATCTAAGCATTGTTTTATCCACAGACATAAAAGTCAATTTTTCCCACTGTGATTCCATCCTGATTTATCCCAAAAATAATTTTTAAGATTTCTTTGTGGAAATTTATAAAGACCAAGAAACCAGATTTTAGTTTCTCACTGAGTAATTTTCCTAAGTGTATCATGTGACCTATTTAAATACAAGGAATTTGAATAAGTTAAATGTATTGTATCATTAGTATAATGCCAATGATACTTTAAGACTTTCATGTCAGACTTTATATAATCCCAGTAAATTGAATATGCTCCTTTTTTTCCCCAACATCTTTTTAAATTAGAAAACTGGGTACAATTACTTAAACCATTGTTAAACAAAGTAAGACAGCTACAATTTTTATTTATTCATTTGGATGCGATATAAGAGAAGCAGAGGCTCTTCAATCCAGGTCTGCAATCCATGCTCTTCCTTCTTGGTCATTTCACTTTTTTTTTTTTTTTCACACAGTTCCCATACTTGAATGGATTCCAGCAGAATTATGAGCGTTTTCCCATGTTACTCTTTAAATCCTTTTGCTTTTAACTCTCCAGTGTTGACGTTTGTAAAAGATCTGAGGTGTTTTGCTATTTGGTTTTTCCACCACATTTCACAATGGTTTGTCACTGAAATTGTTTCAGATGACTTAGAAACAATGCAGAACTCCACAGTGCCTCTGTCGGGAACTCGGAGGTTAAGAGAACAGGGTTTTTTTTAAGTCACTGGTCAATATAGAGTGTGGGGTTTTTTTCCCCAGCTGTCAGAATGAAATGGCATGTAGCCAAATCTCCCCAAATTTTGATGTACTTCTTCAGGAACATAACTCTGGGGCCAGAAAAATCTACATTTTGGCCTGGCACTATTGGGGATGGCTGATGCTGAAATATAAAAGGAACCACAGAACCCCAGAAAGGCTCAAATGTGCAATGAGAGGACTTACCGGTGATTTTCTTAAAGTGAAATAATGGAAGAAAAGGGTGTCCAATTTACAATATGTCTCACTATTTTCTCTGTTTTACAGGGATTTTTTAAGCGAACCGTGCAAAATAATAAAAGGTACACATGTATAGAAAACCAGAACTGCCAAATTGACAAAACACAGAGAAAACGCTGTCCTTACTGTCGATTTCAGAAATGTCTAAGTGTTGGAATGAAGCTAGAAGGTAAGATCTTCTAAGGACCACCACTCATGAAAAGTCTCCAAGTTCACGGACTTAAAAACATGTACTCACGGTGTAGTAACATTAGCTTTTCACTCTTAACACTACTGAAAGGAGTGGAAGATCTTTCTACTTTGTCTGCAAAATATTTTCTCATTTAAATATGGTGCCATCTACTAAATGTTTATTACTAGGTATTTATTAGCTGTTGAAATTGGTGCGCACACACACACACACACACACACACACACACACCACTTTACTTTTTAGTTTGGGAATAGATTTAATACTAAAAGATCAACAAGACTAAAGTGATCCAACTGAGAACAAATAAAATTAATACACAAAAATCTGAAACATAAAATATCTTGTAAGTTTTCAAATCAGGGTGCCATAGTAAAAGTTGGGTTTCAACCTTTTTTTTTTAATAGGTACGTATGCTTTTTATAACTGTTCATATTAATCTCATGATTGTGATGCAAAAGTTAAAGCCTTTAATTGCCCAGAGGGATTTCTCATGTGGAATTTCACTTTTTATAGTGTAGGAGTGCACAGTCTACGAAGTAAAACACTGAGAAATAGGAAAAATATGAAAAATAAGGAATGATGAAAAATCAGTGATGATGGTTTGACAAGAACAAGAGTGGTTTCTCAAAAGCCACACTAGACTTTATTGAGAGAGAGAGAGAGAGAGAGGGAGTGTTCTACACTAGTGCTCAGACTGGCAGGCGGTAAAGTTAATATGTGACTGCTGTGAATAATTTGTGGCTCATAGACTGTTATGTTGTGCTGCTATTTCCCAGCCTTTGACCTACTGGCTTTCCACAGATTAGACACACTGCAGCTAAAGTAACAGCCAGAAAGACATGTCGCCGATGGTGCCGGATACAAGAGTGCATCTTACCTGATCAGTGCAGCTTGGGCTTTTGTTGTTGTTATGTGGAACTTGTATTTGATAGAAACACTAAAAATAATTTCAAATCTGCTGAATTGCCAACAGATTATTTCAAATGGAAGTAACCAGTTTGGTTTTCATAAGGACCATTTTTAAGATGAGATTGTAATTTTCTGCTCACCAATCATTTTATTTATCAAATAGGGGAATATGATGGAAGGTAAGTACTATCATATGAGACCCAGAAGAAAAAAATAGACAAACTAAACATTTCTATTTTCTATTTTAAAAAAATAGAAAAACTAGACATTGTGATTTGCTATGATGTCATTTGATTTTTCCCAACAAAAGAAGAAAGGTTGCTTTTGTTTTTCTTGAAAATTATGCTTTCTTAATTGTAAGAAATTAAGAAATGCTGCACAGTTATACTTCTTTAACAGTGGCAGGAAATAATTGAAAATTCAGTAAATTATCATGCAGATGAAAAACTCTGATTTTGTGCAGTATTCTGGATGCTGAGAATTCACAGTGAATGTTTAATGTGATCCTAGCCCTAAGATAAAGAACTCAGCAACTTGACCTCCAGCAATTTCAGTGTGTCCCATGCTGTCAGAGGTCACTGGCTTCTAATTGCCATTGGCCACTGTGGACCTGGGGAGACCTGCTAACTAACTTAGTAGGCATGGCTCCAGACTCCACACACCATGGTGGCAGGAGAGCCCTTGGACAGCATTTGTAAGGAATTTGCTTTAATTATGTCCCATTCTGCTTAAATTGAAAGCAATAACTAGTGGTTATTGAGGGGTGCTGATAAAGTCCAGGTGAAAATGATTTTCCAAGAAGAGCTGTACCTGACCCTTTTCCAACAAAGTAGCCAAAATGCTAGGGAAAGAGGAAGATGTCCTAAAGAAAAATATTCACAATTTAATTCAGAAATAGGTGGTTTGATTTTTTTTCCTCAAAAACAAACAAACAAACAAAAAAAAACCAAACTTGAGGCAGTTTATGTAGCAAAAATTATGAAATCTCTTCAGCCTAGATAAAGCTTTTTTTTTTTTTTTTTTTTTTTTTTTTTTGGTGGCACTGAGGTTTGAACTCAGGGCCTCATGCTTTCCAGGCAGGCGCTGTACTAGTTGAGCCACTCCACCAGCATCTTCAGTCCCTAAAAAAGGTTAATATATCTTTATTTCTCCAAAAAAATTTTATTTTTTCCTACTGGGAATTGAACCCAGGGTCTTATGCATGCTAGGCAAATATTCAACCACTGAGCCCCAAAAATATTTTTTTGATGACAAAACACAAAAAGGAAAGAATTCACATATACGAACATGGTTTTGGTTCTTGGGGCTTTTCTTAGAACCTTTGTAGCCTGTTAAAAGTTAAAACAACAGCACAGAAACAACTTCTGGTCAATTCTCAGCATTCATGAATACCTGGAGGACAGTAATCATTTGCATATTAGTAATCATTTGCATATTATTTGTGCCTTTCTGTTCTCTCCCCTCCCCAACAGCCGTAAGAGCCGACAGAATGCGAGGAGGAAGGAATAAATTTGGGCCAATGTACAAGAGAGACAGGGCCCTGAAGCAGCAGAAAAAAGCCCTCATCCGAGCCAATGGACTTAAGCTGGAAGCGATGTCTCAGGTGATCCAAGCGATGCCCTCTGATCTGACCATCTCCTCTGCAATTCAGAACATCCATTCTGCCTCCAAAGGCCTACCTCTGAACCATGCTGCCTTGCCTCCCACAGACTACGACAGAAGTCCCTTTGTCACATCCCCCATTAGCATGACAATGCCACCTCATGGCAGCTTGCAAGGTTACCAAACATATGGCCACTTTCCTAGCAGGGCCATCAAGTCTGAGTACCCAGACCCCTACACCAGCTCGCCTGAGTCCCTGATGGGCTATTCCTATATGGATAGTTACCAGACAAGCTCTCCTGCAAGCATCCCACACCTCATCCTGGAACTTTTGAAGTGTGAGCCAGATGAGCCTCAAGTTCAAGCCAAGATCATGGCCTACCTGCAGCAAGAGCAGGCCAACCGAAGCAAGCACGAAAAACTGAGTACATTTGGGCTCATGTGCAAAATGGCAGATCAAACCCTCTTCTCCATTGTTGAATGGGCCAGGAGTAGTGTCTTCTTCAGAGAACTTAAGGTATGCCACCAGCTATCACAACTCACAATGTCCCCTCAGGGGAAACCTAACCATGTTCCTGGTTATGTGTTCTTGGTGCTGAAAATACATTTTCCTTTTCCTGTTTGTATGATTTACAATCACTTGTAAATCATACAAATTTTATGACCATTACTTCAGAATTATTGTAGTGTGACTTAATATAGGGATTTTTTTTTTCTGTGTAGTTTTTAATTTGGGGAATGACATTTAACTTAAAATCTAGGTAGCAGTTTTTGGGGTTTTTTTGTTTGATTGGTTTTTTCTGAGTAGCAGAATGCAACATTGCTTTTAACTCAGATGGTTTTTGGCTAAAAAATTTAATGTCAAACATCTACTAACTGATTTTTAAAAGTTACCAAGTAATGAGAACTGCATTGTCAGGATGTCATCTTGAAGGTTTCTTTCCACGTAAAAACTGCCAGACTTTAACAGTGTTTAGGCCCTAAAGAATGCAAATGACACCAGTGGTGGGTAGGACCAGGAAGGTATTTACTACCTGTTTACCTTGACATTAGGTTGGTAATGTTTTCTGAGCAGATTCCAATAGGAGCTGTGTACTGTCATTGGCTGAGAAAGGGCCCATGGTGAGTGCTAGTTCACTTGGCTGTACCTTAGTCCTAATGTATGTCTGTCATTGATTTTAAAGGATTAGTATATTGTAAACACAGCACATGTTTGCATAAGGACCTGTGTTTACCTATATAATTATTTGATTTCCTGAAACTTAGGACCGAATTAATATGGGAAAGTTAGTAGCCAGTGATTTCATTCCTGACTTAAAAGTGAATCCTGGATTTGAGTTCTAAGTATATTCTGTAATAAAATCAATTTTCATGATCTCCTCCCATGTCATGGGAGGAGATGTGGCATCTAACCATCCAGTGGTTTCTGATGATCTGGGTTAGGCAGAAATTTTAAAAGCGGAGGGAAGGAAAATACAAAGCAGACTTTTAGCATAAAGGGTTACTGTTGTCTGGTCTGTGTACACAGAGGGACTAGGAGGCATGGAAGTGGGTGTTCAATGGACAGCAACATTTTTCTTGGAAGTCTTATAGCACAATTATTTGTACATGGAAACAAAAAAGTTATCTGAACAGTTCCAAATCGGTCCATAAAAAAACTTACTGGTATTCTTATATTCATAACTAAGTCTTTAAGAGAAGAAGTATTTGAAAATGAAAATGAAAATGACTCGAGCTACAACTGAGAGGCCGGGCAATTACGAATGAGGAAATCTCAGCGTTTGCAGTAGGTGGACTTGATTTGTGTTATATCTTTCCGATTGACAGCTGTGCCTTCATGGGCAGGTTGTCAGTGTCTCTGTGCCTCAGTGTTGCTGTCTGTAAAATTGTGTATGTGGTGCCCATGGAAGAGAATGAGGGAAATAAGAGCGTTTCTATGGAGGAGAAATTTCAAGGGAAAGAAATGAGAAAATGTCCACAAAATACCTAGAACTGGGAGTCTGACCTGTGCTACAAGCTCAGTAAGTGGTGCTTCCTTTAGATTCTGAGGATTGTTTTGTGAAAATGCAGTCAATATATCATACAGTCTGATATACAGAGGCACAAAACAAGCAGGTGTAGGTAGTCTCATTAGTATGACAGTGGGGAACAATATTGCCCCGTGTTGCAGGACCATATCACTGTCTTGTAATTAACAGTCGCTAATCAATACAAGCTAAGGATGAAGCAGTAAGTTGTGTAAGATGAATGCAAAGTTGAATGAGATAAAAATATCTCTTCTTGCAGTTATTACTTATATGTGCAAAAGGAAATGTGGTAGAGTGACTTCAGCTAGCCACAGATGGGACTTTACGAATGTTGGGAAAACACTCTCTCTCCAAATTTCCTCCCCCCTGCAGCGAAATTCTGCAGTAAGATTCTCTTACATGACACGGGGTTAAATATTTGGCTGAAATATAACTGCCTTCAGGATTGGGGTTCTGTCAATCTTTATACTGATGTTTAATGCATTTATTAGTTTTTCATGGAAAATACCTTGAAACAGGAAAGAAAAAAAGCACAAATACTGGGGCACCCAAGGAGTGGGAGGTGTCCCCAGGGGACAGAAAACCTCCACTCATTCCACTTTTTGTCTTGGGCTTGTGTTGAACAGGGGTGATTCCATTTACATGGTTTTTGCAGAGAATAAAGAATAGAGTTCAGAGAAACTTTGGGGTGGTTTAAGCAGAGGCTTATGAGATAAGTATTCACATTTGGAAGAATTTCTTTTTGTAATTTGTTTTGTCAAAAAAACCCAAACAAACAAAAAACAGAGTAAGTCATTTAAAGCCCAGCATTGATACATCTCCAGGGCTGTAGTTTCTTTTTTTTTTTTTTTTTAAACCATGACGTGCAGTAGGAAATATATTTTATGCTTCTCTTACACACACGCACACACACACACACACACACACACACACACACACACAGAGTTTCATAAATGGCATATGACCTGAATGTCATGTACTCTGATGTTCTCTTTTCTGTATTTGTCTGATTTAGTTCGTGTTTTTTAAAAAATTCAGATTACGACCCATTAAATTGATTTCATGACCCACTAATGAGGCCTGACCCTCGATTCAAGAAACATTGCTCCAGGGTGGTTTTGTGGCCAGCCACTGGACTTCGCCTACCTCTCACCATCAAAGACAACTCCAAAAGGCCTCTCCCTCCTGGCATGGACTTAAGACGTCCCTGAAACCTGTAGCCTGAGTCCACACAGTAGCATTTGCAAAATGTCACAGTTTTGAAATTCCATTTGGGAAGATGAATACTCTCCCTTAAACATTTGTTGTTTTCTTGTGAATGTCATAGCAATTTGCCCATCTAGTGTCACACGTGGAGAGCAGCCTGTTACACATCCACCACCCCTAAGATGAAGGAGAGCTGTGATTTTGCTCCTGGAAAATAAGAGGATAATAAGGCAATTTGCAAAATGACCCCTTGCTCACTCTCATAGGACCCTCCCTCCCCACCGTGTCCCAGGGAGAAAATATGGATTCCACTAGTTAAGGGAACAGAAGGTCCAGGGGAAACTAGTGGATAATTTGGTTTTTCCACATAGCTACAAGGTACAATAAAAGGCATTCTGGTTTCCATTCAAAATATTGGAATGAGAAAGAGGACATGACAGCTCCCACGCCATTAGTGTGTGAAGCAGCCCACAGAAAGACAAAAGGACAGTGTGTTCACACATCCCACAGAGTTTCAGAACTAGAAAGTGAAAGGGGGGGCAGAGCTAGAGGACATGAGTGAGCTATTTGTCTCTCATATACATGGGGGGGGTCACACCCACCAGAAGACCCCCACTACTTAGAGACCACAGGATTCTCCTCAGCAAAAGGGATGGAGGGTCATGTGACCCACCTCTTTTTGCATTTATAGAAACCAGAAGCCAGAGAAGGAGTCTAACAAGGCCAAGGTCCCACAGCTACCAACTAGGACTGGCGGACTCAGGTTCATAGAGGCCCCCCTCCTCGTTTGTGCCCCTCCTCCAGTGCTCAGCACAGTGTGACCTTTGACTCCCAAACCACAGGCCTTTGCCAGTGAAGCTAAAGCAAATCACTAGCTTATCAGAAGTCCATCACTGCCATCCAATTACTAAATCACTAATAATCAGGGAGACAGATTTTCCCTGAGCCCAGACACCCTCTAGGGAGCGCATGAGTCACTTTTTAGCAAGCCTCAATAATTCTTTCAAGCCACTGGGGGAACATTCGGGACCATTCGTGTAGTTCTAGCAGCTAGCAGATCTATGCACTAGGGCTTCTGGGCCTTGAAAGACCTTGCTTAGCACTCTCTGCAGGAGTTTCCTTCCAGGGAGAACCGTGTGGGTCACAATTAGCAGCTAGAAGGCCCAGACTCAGTCTGTCCTCTGCTCTGTGAGGTGTTTTCAAGTGGGTTTCTTTTTACGGATGTGTGTGAAGATAGGAAGGAAATGGAGGATTATGACCAGGTCATAGGTGGGCCATGCATATAAAATATACCTATATTCAATGAACCTTCTAGACCTAAGCCAATTCTGTCTGGGGTTTTTGTTTGTTTGTTTGTTTTTTGTTTTTTGACAGTACTGGGGCTTGAACTCAGGGCCTACACCTTGAGCCACTCCACCAGCCCTCTTTTCAGTGATGGGTTTTTTCAAGATAGGGTCTTGCAAACTGTTTGCCCCAGCTGCTTCGAACCTCGATTCTCCTGATCTCTGCTTCCTGAGTAGCTAGGATTACAGGTGAGAGCCACCAGCCCAATTCTGACTTAAAGTGGCTTATGTTTTGTCCTTGTGAGTGACAACTGTGCTTTTTCTTGCTGTGGTATTTCTCTCACCTGTGACTTGAATATCTATCTCATAAACATGAGAGCAGTGAGAAAGTAATTCCCACTTTGTAAAACAACTAACAAATCTGGAGGATCTATTTGATCTTCTAATGAGACCAGATGTCCTCCGAGGGTTCTGGGAATGCATACATAAGTACTTCCCCTCTATGAGTGATTCTGATACATGTAGGAATTTTTTTAAAAGTCTAAATTAATCCTGACTAAAACTCATCACTGGCATTTCTGTGGAAAATAGGTCTCAGAGACTCAGGGAGTTTGTGTCAAAGGAATTCAGCTCTGCAGAAGCCAGTTCTTCAGTGTGGTTTTCTCCAAGCAAAGTGGAAAGGGGAGGGGCAGACCTTCTTTCTCTCTGACCATTAGAGAATTTCTGAGCAAAGCTGCATTTACTTAACATTGTAGGTGCTGTTTCCCAATCATTGCAGGTTTATGATCTGAGACTTTATTGGATCTGCTCCAAGTTTTAGCTGTTTTTCGTTACTAAACTTAGTCTTTGTGTGTGTGTGTTTGAGTGTGTGTGTGTGGAGAGAGAGAACCCTACACAGTGTCTTCCCACTCACCTGCCACCTGATTCTGCTTTTTGTTTGGTTGGTTTTTGTGGTACTGGGGTTTGAACTCAGGGCCTACACCTTGAGCCATTCTACCAGC